CTGTTTTCATCATTGGATTCATAATTACAATCGGAGTCAACATTGAGTTCATTCTCGACATCATTGCCGCCGAAATCACTGTTGGATTCGTTGTCAATGTTTTCACTCAAAGGGTTCTCGACTTTGACATCGCTTTCATTGTGACAATACTTCGAGTGATCGTCTCTAACCTCACGTAGACTCAGACACTTAACGGTTCCAGTCTTACGTCTTTCTCTTGTGGACTTTGAGTCTTCATTTTTAACACTGTTTTCTTCGTTTGATTCGTAATTATAATCCAAATAAACATCACTTTCATTCCTCTCGTGTCTTATCGCTGTTCTTCGACTCAAACGTTGCGAAACTGTTTCTCCATTTGTGCCATCGATGGTGTCTTCAGTTGTCTTATACTTCGAGTGATCAACTCTCGACTGGTGTTTGTGAAGATAACGAAGAGTCGGGAAAACTCCGCCACAACTGCCGATATCACACCTAAAGCTGTCTCCGGAGTGGATCTCTTGGTGTATATTCAGATCTCTCAGAGCTCTGTATCTCCGGTCGCAGCCATCAAAGTCACAAACAAATGGTTTCGTGTTCTTTGACTTAACGCTTCCAGTCTTTGCTTTGCGTTGAGTTTTGTGCGTTTTATTCAAGTCTTCGATCACATCCAGACACTCTTGTAAACACTTGTAGACACTCTTCTCATCACTCGATTCAATATCATTGCCATCGCTATCGATGTCTTCGCCGCAGACATTGTCTGACATGTCATAGTATTCACAGCGAGGATCAGGTCTTTCAATGTCTTCTTCATTATCACTGAAACGGTTCTCCACTGGAATGTTGTCGTCAGTTGTGGTGAACTTCTTGTGATCAGCTCTGATGTGATGTTTGCGAAGATAGGCTTTGGTGGCAAAGACTTGAGGACAGGAACCGATTCCGCACCCGTATGTGAGACCCAAATGAAGTTCTTTGTGTTCATTCAGTGTCTTCAAAGACTTGTATCCTTTACCACATTCCTCGACATCGCATACAAAGAGCTCTTCGTTGCCATCGGTTCCAGTGTTGGTGTGGTTGGCGTTAACGACACAATCGGTTGAATCGATTTCAATGATAGCATTGATCTCTCGTTTGAATTGCAAATCAAAATCAGTTGTGATTTGTTTAACATTTTGTAAATAATGTATAAATTGTTGACATTTTTTGGCCAATAAAACTTTAGAGCTATTTAGACAACTGTTTGTTAACTAAAGAGCAAAGTTAAGTAAATGTGTATTTTACAACTCATTTCGCGTTAATTGCGATAAATCCGCAAAAACTTCACTCATTTTTAATTCATTTTCACTTCAATTCAAATCACATTTAAATAACAATTGATTTCTCGTTTCAATTCATTTACACATAAATACAACTCATTTCGCGTTAATTGCGATAAATCCGCAAAAACTTCACTCATTTTTAATTCATTTTCACTTCAATTCAAATCACATTTAAATGAGAAAACAATTCATAACTGAATGCAAAACATAAACACAAATCATATGACAAAATTTGTGTATTTTGCAAACGTTTTTAATTCAAAAGCGAAGTTGACACTATATTTAACGTAATTTTCAATGATTTTGAATAATTAACGAATATTAAATATTTACTTAAATTCAATTAACTAATCAAGTAATGTTTGTTCATTAATAGATATGGTTTTTGTATTTGTAATATAACTTCCAGAATATATGCAATAGTATTACAAAGTGTATCCTTTGCAACACAAGTATTGTTTGGTTCATGTATTCATGTATTCATGTATTCAAAACTTGACCACATTTTCATACTATTCAAGCTTAAGATGCTTCAACATGCTTTATATGCAGCTATTTGCAGTATCCAAAAGTTATCCTAGTTAATCATATATTAATACACTGATATTGATAACACCAAGTTGATTTAAAGTTAATACTATTGCATAATGTTGGCCCTATTATGATACTATTGTGATACTTATGGATGTGTAAGAAACACATCAATCATTTAATTAAACATGTCTTATGCAATACTTACCAATTGTAACACAATTTGAGTTTTGTTTCAAAGTTTATCCATTAATTAAAACCACTAATTATATACACATTTAGACCATGGAATCTTCAATCAAGTTTTTAACAATTAATACAAATAATCAATTAATTTTAATTATCAAAACTAATTCTCTCTCTCTCTCTCTCTATGACTGAGAGAGAGAGAGAGAGAGAGAGAGAGAGAGAGAGATGTAATGTAATTCAGAGTTTTGTGAAACCGCAAACATAATTTAAATGAAGTTTTGGTATTTATATGAAAAGTCACGAAAACTTTCATACTTTGGTTTTTGTGATTGTTTTACACAATTATATTTTGTGTGCTGTAAACCAAAAGTGAATTCCTTATCACTGGTTGTTAACGAATAAACACAACAATAAATAATCAATAGTTTTGTATTTTTGGTCAAAAAACATGAATGTCAAACTAATTTTGAGTATTGTCTGTACAATGCACTCGGTTTTGGCCATTCCAGCAGTCAATGGCTGCCGATGCGACGCCCGACTTGGTTTCGGCCAGATATGCGGTCACCGGCTGTCCACCGACTCAGTGGACGGATGTAAAGCCAACTCGTTGTACGCGTGCGACCAAAACACACCCAATGGTTGGGCGAATGAAGTAAAAAATTGTCAACTTTCTAATCAACACTGTATTTATGGTTGGATTCCGAGTTCAGAGATTCAGGCCGACGTCTGCGTTGGCCACTACTCCACACTAATTAATGGCATGAATAATATCCAAAATCAAACCAATGTCAACGTTATGGACAATATTCAGTCCAGTTTTATGACACCTCGAGCTTAAGGGAAGTGTTTGTACTTAAAAATCACAAATTGAACGCTTTGTTTATGAATTTCATTTTTGTAAAACTTATACTGATTTAGTTATCATTTTTAGTGAACGATAGTTTAAATGTATTTCATTTTATAATTACAATAAAGTTTTTATATTACACTAATTAGTTGTAATTTTTGTCTTAATAATTAATTACATTGATTAATGTTGTTCTTTGCCTTAATTTGCATAATTTATGTAAATTGAATAGAATTTAACTAAATTAGAGAGAGAGAGAGAGAGAGAGAGAGAAAAGTATAGATTTACTAAAATTACAAATTAATGATAATTAAAAGTTTTAATTATAAAATTCTTAATTAGAAACACATGTGTTTTGTTTTTATTCGCGACTAAAACACCGATCATTCAATAACATGAAATGAATGCAATAAAACCAAATTGTTAAATTTGTGCTAACAATGAAATCACAATCATTTCATTCATTGATTATAATTGCCATTAATTTATTATCGATCGCAAAATGCGATGAAAATGTTTGCGAAAGTGTTTGCGGAAAACACAAGTACTGTTTGACTCAATGCAAGTCCGGTGCCCACAATCAACATGCGCTCAATTTACCCCATTGTGGTCTAACGACCGTAAACTCGGCGCCGACGGGCGGTGACGACCATCCCTGGGTCGCCACGTTCTACAGGCGATCCATGGGAGCCAATCAGGGAGTCGAGCAGTTTTGCGCCGGAGTTATCATCACTGATCGGCTCATACTGTCGGCCGCTCACTGTTTGTAAGCGCTTTAACACTATATTGTTTACAGTACTATACAATACTTTGCATACCTGTCCCCTCTCTCTGTCGGCATTCACTCAGTCAACGGCGAAAACTGCTTGACTTCCGAATGATGATCGGATCCCAAGAAGTGACTCTCTCGACGAAAGGCACAATTGTGTTGAAACCGGAGTCGGTGTCATTCCCGGGACTCATCAGCAAACGATGGATCAAACTGCACGACCAGTACTCCAACAGCACTCACGTCAACGATATCGCACTCATACGCACCTCTCAGGCCATATCGTTTCAAATAAAAAACGGCTCTTTCACTGTCAACAGCGCGTGTCTGCCCGCCGCACACCACGAGCCCAAAGGCCATGTCATCTCCGCCGGCAGGAGTTATCAGCCGTCGGGAGTGACCACAACCACCACAACACGCGCTCCGCGTGCGAGACGTCGCTTCAGATCTCTGGAAGAGGAAGGGGTCGTGAAGCTGAAAATGATGACCAGTTCTGTGATCAACGCCAACGATTGCAAACGTGTGGCCAATGAGACTCGTTATAAGGATTTGGACGGCGGTTACGAAATACACAACATTCTCATCTCAGAGACCAGGTTTTGCGTCATGTCTAGTGTGGCGCCCGGACTGGCCATTGGTGGCGCCGGCTATAATGGACCCGCCTATGGTATGTGTCTTTTCATATCTTTATGCTTTTTAGGGTTTGCAGTAATTCTGTCGTAAAAGTAATAATTTGCATATTTATGGAAATAAAAAAGTGTTAAAAACAATGAAATCTAAACAAAACATATTTAAGTGCAGTTTAATTGACTGTTGTTCTGCGCATAAAACTTGTAATTCAAAATTCAAATTAATAACACGTCAATTAATTGTTGAACAAAAACAGGCGACTCGGGAACGGCATATATCCAGTACGTGAAGAATAGGGCACATGTGGTCGGTTTGGTCAGCTATTTCGACCCAGAAATGAAGAACCCGACCACACAAGTGACCAAAGTGTCCAAATTCCTGGATTGGATCTCCGAATCGGCCCAATTGAACCTGGATGCTGTTGTGTTTTAATTACAACTTCTCGTTATATTGTGTTTTAATTGAAATAAAAAATATAACAAAAAAACATAAAATATTTGACAATAAAATTGTATTAAAGGAAAAACAATAAAAATAATAATTTGTAATTTATAGCTCATGTTATTTTCTTTGCAATTTTTTATATATGCACTAAAATTGTCTCTTTTATTATTATTTTAATTAATTATAATTTTATTATTCCAATTAAAGGGCAATTAAATGTAACCGTTGTTTATGATGTGTGAAAAGACATTAAAAAGAGTCAATTTAGCGCTCATTACAGAAATTGTGGGAAAACTTGTTTGCATTTAGATTCCTGATCTCAATGCCGACTCTTATAACAGTAATGAATGTTTACTTGGATTTAATTGTGTCTCAAATGCAATATTGAACACAATTATGTATTATTAATTGCAGAAAGAAAGAAAGAAAGAAAGAAAGAGAGAGAGAGAG